TAGTCCTGACAAGTAGATTTGCAAAACTATGCCAAGGCAATTATATACACAAATGTTCACTTCAGCATTGCACATAAAAAAAAAATAGTAAAAAAAACCAAAACAAAACACAAATGTTTGCTAATCGTACACTGTTTACATAAATCATTGTACTTCGATACAGAGGGACAGTATTAAACCACTACAAATAATGAAGTAGGTATATGTGGGTTTATATGTTGCAACTCTATACATTTTTCAAAAGATATGTGACTAATAATAACAGGATATTTGGGGGAATAGGAACTGAGGGTTGGGAGGGGAGAGACACTTATACTTTTTATCTTACAGTTCTCTGTACTATTTGAAATTTTTCCAGTGTGTATTTTGTTCTATTCACATTTTAAAATCAGAAAGCAGGAAATAGAATGTATCTGAATACTAGCCCTCAAAGTGGTTAAAAATTCAAATTGCTTGAAGTCTAAATGACAAATATTCACAGATCACTAAATCAAGATTTCTTAAGGAAATAAAGAGTCGAACCAAAGAGCTCTTTATGTTTAAAATGAGTAATTGCCAGGAAAAATCTGGTGTGGGGTGATATATTGAGTAGATACCAGAGACGGTAACAATAAAGGGAAATACTTGCATCTAAGATGTTTTCAAACCCCTTTCAAAGCCAAGGCATTATATGAGTATTTTGAAGATATAAAGGCTAACAGTGTATAAAAATTTTATATTAACTATTGATATAAACTACAAAGATTACTTCTTTATATTTTCAAATCTTTACTAAAAGCAATCATACAATAGATGAAGTAATTCTAAAATAACTTAAATTCATAATAACTCTATTTGGACTTTCCATTTCTTAAAATTCTGACATCATTCATGACTTATAATGATAAAAAAATGAAAATATTCACAGTGGTAAATTATCTTCCTTCTTTATGACTTTAGGAACATAAAGGAGAATTAGACTAATTACATTTTATAAAATGATTCTCAACACTTACAACATTTATTAAAGTACCAATGGTGACTAAAAGAAAGTAGTAACTGATACCAACTTTAATGACACGTTTTTAAAGTACAATATCTGCAATCTAGGTATTTCACTACAAAATTAGATATTTTCCAAATTCTTTCTCAGTTCCAGGGAATGACCATTATTTAAAATATCCTGTCAAGGGCCTCACAAAATTGAATTTAATGCCAAACATCTGAAGTGTAGTTAATTTTGAAAAATGGACATCTTCAGCAGCTTTCCAAAATAAATACTGATTGATAAACTTTTTATAAAAATAATTTGTGCAATATAAACACCCATGGAAACCATTTTTGATGCTCATACAAGTAACAAGTAACATGACTCAGTTCTAATAAAGACCTTTGTATTCTAAATTGCCCCCCCCCCCAACACTGTGACTGCGTGCAGGCGTGCTTTACTGTTTTAATTTAGTTGTGCGAGATAAGGCAAAACTACTGACTTCTCTAGTTTCCTTTTGTAAATGCTTCTTCACATTTTCTTTGGTGACTATGTTTGCATTTTTTTCCTCAAACGCAGTTTTTCATAATAGAGTGGACAATTTTGTGTTTTACATCTGACAGTATGGTTTCTCCATAATAATCACTTTAGAAGAGTCCTTAACTATCAAGATGACCCTCAAAAGATGAACAGTGGAGCACATTTCTTTTTAAAACTACAAGAAGGAATTTGGCAAGAGGTCTTTTTCCATCCATGTCTAGGTGACATATGGTTGCAGCATGTCTTGATCCATTTAGCACGTTGTCCAACCCCACGTGGTCCCCATGGGCACAGCTCTGATGGCCTACCCTGTATCCCGTGCCAACCAAAGTAGTTTTGGAATCTGGCATCAGTTTGTGAAGGAAGTTTCTCTTCTCTCAGCATTTGTGTAGTCAAAGTGAATATTCCTAAGGGAATGTGACCATATGTTTGATATTTGGAAAGAGGGAGTTGGTTTTATTGGAAAGGGAAGAGAGAAGATAAACGCAGCTCATGCTCAGTGCCATAAAACCTTATTATAGGTCCAGAATCACCCACTGGTTTGCAAATTTCATCCAAGTCCTCTTACCACTTGAGACGAGGCTTAAACATGAAAGAATATCTGTTCCTATTCCTCTTGTCCATATGTAGCCCATCTCCAAATGGGAACACAGGGCTCCGTGGGAGGCCCCTGCTGTTACTGATAACCACACCTTGATTTTTCTTCTTTGTTTTAGGGGGTTTAACATAGGAAACGTATAATCTCATTAGCCCTGACAAGTGATTTGTCTTATGTTGAACCTTGAGGCCATATCCCAAATTATTAACTTCTGAATTTCTTTTCATCAAGTTCAGATTTAGAGAGACTGGTAACTTGTGTTGCAATTCAAGGCCTTAAGAGAAATACTCCAAATTCCAGATTTATCCTAAGTTTAAAAGTGCAAATCCATATTTCAGCTCTTCTCTCCTTAAAAACATTTTTTAAGGAATCTTTGGAAAGAAATGGAAAATATCAGACCATCCTGAAGTACAAAATGTTCTAAATTTACCTATATTTTTATTAAAACCCACTACTTAATGACAGATAATTTTCATAAAGACCCAATAATGTATAGTGATATATGCAGTGAAACAAACTTTCAAAAGTGAAAATCAGAGCCCTAACACACTGACAACAGATAGGATCTAAATCTATATATGCCAATAGGCCAAACTCTACCATTCAGCCCTCTCCATGAAAACAACTCCCTTGGCATTTCACTACTTGAGATGTTTTCATTTGTTTTTGGAACTGTGCACCGGGATATCAATGATCTCGTTAATATATTGTTACTAAATTCCTTTAACTCAGACCTGCAGCACTACACTGTTGCTGGGACTTCTGAATTCACTGCCACATACACAGAGCATGGTGAAATCATAGGCTGTTTGGAACATCTGTCACTTTCTCTTCCCCATAGTCATATAGTCATGGGTCCCAGGCCACAGGAGAATGTTGTGTCTCAGTGGACATGCTCATTGTTTAATCTCTAACTTTATGCAGAATGGAGCAAAATGTAATTCTTCTATACTGCATCCTCAATACAACTTCTATATTCTATGAGCAGCATTAAAAATAATGGTCAATTTTGCCAGAACTTCCATACATGCAATAATTTCTTTCTGTTTCTGAATCTGTAAACCACTTAAAACATCAGTGAAAAAAATGTATTCTCTCAATTTATCTTTGTATAGAACTAAGGCTTTCATACCACACTCAAAATTCAGTGAGTTGATGTGAGCCCTCTACCATTCTCTTGTGAGTCACCTATCTGTTGATGAGTATGTGAGATCCTGAGATATCTCAACAATCCTTATGGCATGAAACAACTTTATTGATTTCTAATTGGCAAATGATCATGAAGTGTGAAAAAAAATACCTGTTGTTTGGGCCCTGAGATCTTTGTCACTGTCTAGAACTTCTCATTTCATATGGCCACAACTAGAATAGAGATGGAGTGTAGGATTTTATCTAGGGTAACAGTAAAATCAGCAGGATCCTCTCTCAGGCCAAGTATGAAACTGGTGATGCTTAGCAATCTAATAGGCATATTTCTGAGTACTAAGATATGTATTTTGATTATACTGATCATCTTGAAATTCTGATTTATTGACACTCAACATCTATCTCTGCAGGTTTCTTGATTAGTTTGTTGCTCAAAATGCTGTCTCGGAGTTTTCTTGCCATACCAAAAACTGAAACAAACAAGAAATATTAAAGTCTTTAAAGGCAAAAACAACATCTGTATAATTCTCACTTCATTTTCACCCAGGATTATATATCCACTTAACAAATTTTATCTGCTTGTGAGTCATTTTTTTAATGGACGGCAACGTAAGGTATAGGTTTAAAACATAATCACTAGCATTAAAAGATCTGGGTTTAAATCTGGATTCTGGTTCCATTATACACTAACTCTGTGTCCTTGGGAAAATTACTTAATCTTCTAATCTTTAATAAGGGTGTTATAGTAGTACATGTCTCATACAATTATTTTAATAATTGATTGAGATAAAATATGGAAAGCTTTAACACAGTGGGTGGTTATATGAAAGAGAAGTGAGAAAAAAAAAAACAGCGTACAAGCAAGCTGGAATCAGGGAAGACAATAATTCCAGAGTGATATACAGTAGCATTTAGTCATCTAACTGTATCAGAAAGCAACCCTTGCAACATCTTTTATAGGGAAGCGTTAAGACACACATTATGTTTTCAAAATGCTTTTGTTGTCATCAAAATACTGTTTGTATTCTAGTATTGCCATTCTGATAGGTAGTATCATTGCATGGTTATATTCGATACATAAAGATCAGCTTACTTGTCAGTCTTCAGAAGTATATCCCCCAGGCCAGATCTAAATCTGCAACATTTAGCGGACTGCCTACCACAGAGTAAGTGCTCAAGGCAAGTTTGTTAAATTGCAAAATCTTAAAATCACACAGTCAAGTGGCACAAATACAAATATATCACATACTTCAAAAATGTACGAGGATGCCTCTTATGTATAGACGTGTGTGTGTGTGTGTGCGCGCGCGCGTGTGAATCAGTTGAAAACAAAGACAACTCAAGATAAAACAACCATACCTTTGAAACAAGTTACATCCCACAGTGTCTTTTAAACTTAGGTATAATCGAGAAGATTAGCTCTTTCTACACAGGTCTAATGTTCGCCAAACATGGTATTTGTTGGGTTCATTTCTAGCTAGAAACAAGCCATTGGAGATCTTCCTAGTGTAGCTTGTTAATGAAATCATTAGAAGAGTCAGTCTACATTGCCAGGCTCTTGAAGACTTTCTCTCATTTTTTGTCAATATTACTGAGCAATGACAGATACCTTTAATTTGGAAACACTCACTTTCAAGTTTGACTCTAACAGTTTTCCTTCCTCTCCCATATCCACAACCATGGTGGACTGTATTACATACATTCATATGATTCACTGTAACATACATCTGAGATGTTTCTTGAATGAAATTAGACAGTTAGGTCACACATTGTGTTTTCCATTATCTTCCGAGTCTGAGTAGAACAAGTCTGAAACTGAGGCATGTAAGATACAAAAGTCTTCTGACCATTAGTTCCTAAACTGAAATGATTTTCTACAAGTTGTGAGCAAGTGTCCTGGAGGATTCTGATGTCAGTGAGTAAACAATGGGCTGGGAACGGACACAACACTTGTGACTCGTCAGTCAAAAACACACCACTCTCTCTTTTTTTGATTGAGGTGACCCCTAAATAATAGACAGACCTCTCACCATTATTTTCTTCAGGGAAATTTCCCTCAGGTTTCAAAAATTCATCCAATCCTTCTGAGAACGGAAGGTGTGGTGAAATTATATTGGGATGCTGATCTGATAATATAAAAAATGCCTGGGTTTCTATCTCCCATGAGCTGTTAGAGAAAGAATCCTTGGACAGAATATTTTTGCTAGAGAAGCATTTGCTGACTGAACTATTTATAAGCCCTTGCTCTTCATCAATGTCACTTGATTTAGAGCTGCTGAGTAGGGTAGCATATCTAACAGAGGGCTGTCTCCTGTTTTCATCCTCATAGGTTACCACGCTGCTCTCAAGCTCAGAGAAGTCAGCACTGTTGTGCTGGTCACTGATACCAATAGAACCCTTTTCAAGATCCGGAGTTGCCAAAAGTAGAGAGACCATAGTTGTTGGCACCATGTCATCTTTATTTTTCCATGTTGTGTCAACACTGACATCTTCTGAAATGGCTTCAGGCTCCAAAAGAAGAGGACCAAATATCACTGATTCTGTATGCTTGACAAAAAGATGCTCAAACGTTTCTGGCTAAAAGAAAAGACACATTTTAACGCTCAATTGTATTATTATTATTATTTTTCTTCACTACGACATCATTGCAGAAACGAAAGTGTAAAAGGTTTACTACCAAAGGACATAAGTCAAGCACACATTAACTAGTTTTGGACTGAAATGGATATGTCAAAAATCATAAGGGAGAGACATATAAATTAGTGTTTAAAGTGGGATGAGATAGACTTTGGTTTGAGTCCTTCCACTTCTATGACCATGGACAAGTACATTAACTTCTTTGTCTTTTGGTTTCTTCATCTGTAAAAATGTGTTCTATCAATATTTACTTCCTGGCATTGCGGTGGGGAATAAATTAGAGAGGGTCTGAAAGTGCTTAGGTCTCAATAAAGATTGGTTGCTGCATATCTTCTGAAGAATTCCTCATGTTTTACAGCAAATTAGGCTTCCACAAACTGAAAAATTTAAACCTCAAATGAAAAAGTAATTGAAATAAAATCAAATGAACAAACCCTCTAGTCCAAAGGTAATTAGAGTATCTACGCCATGACATAAGATATGATGTAAAGGCGAACTATTTGTGACTGTTGAGACTAATCTGCCTTACACGATACTGAAAATCTACTTAAGATCACCAGAAGACAGGAACACCAATTTGTTGAAAACAATGATGGTAAAAGAGATGATCACAGACTCTTAAGTCACCATTCCTTATAGATAACTTCACATAAAAATACACACGGAACATGTGGAATGAAGACAAAGACACAAAACAAATGCACATCGTATCTTTTATAAGAATGCTGGTTACATCACAACAAAAAAATCCTGCTAAGCAGCTACAAATCAAGAATCTGTGTGTAAAAAGCTCAACTTATACAATGTAAACATATTGAAAAATAAGTGCAAAATGAAGAACACTGTGGACACATCACATTCAAAAATTAACGCAACTAAAGGACGTGCTACTGAAAATGTGTTCAATTTGTGAAACATACATATGATTGACCTTTTGAATTTTACAATTATTTTTTATTTATTTAAAAAAATTTTTTTAATGTTTATTTATTTTTGAGGGAGACAGAGACAGAGTGTGAGTGGGGGAGGGGCAGAGAGAGGGGGAGACACAGAATCCAAAACAGGCTGCAGGCTCTGAGCTGTCAGCGCAAGCCCGATGTGGGGCTTGAACTCACGAACTGTGAGATCATGACCCGAGCTGAAGTCGGACGCCCAACCGACTAAGCCACCCACATGCCCCTGAATTTTACAATTTTTAAACTACCAGAATGAATTCAAACTTATTCCCTGAAATAACAGTATCCCCAACTATTCTTCATAATGGCAAATATATTTCATATAAAAACATAATTCATTAGCACAGTTCTAAATTCTTAAATGAAATATATTTGTGATTATAACCATAAAGAATAAATATACCAAATGCTAAATATGATAAAAAATGGAATACATTTATATAGATATTAAAATCCTACATAATGACAAATATCATGTTAACACAACCTTCTCTGTTATTTATGAACATAATATATGAAAACTGTTCCTATGCCTTTTTTTCTGACAGAAATTTATCATTAGTTTTATGATTTGCTTCAAATATTTATTTTCTCATATTATTTTTTCTTAAACTTGCTACTCTGTGTGTCTTGAATTTCTTAAAATTTAAATGAACCTAGAAAATAAGATCACCAAATAAAGGAATTACATGCTATCAACATGAAAACAAAAAATACACACAAATAGCCAATAGCACGCAGACTCATATATGTTCTTCAGATGATGGCTCTGGCATATTTCATGTCCTCTAAAACCTTATAACTGGTAACTAATTATTGGTACCAAATAATTTACATGTCTTCAAATGCATCCAGATGGAAGATAATTAATAAGAAATCACATACCCATATATTATTGAGGTATATCTCATCAATGGGTCACAAACATTTATTAAAAGTATGTTCATTACAAAATCTTAACCATTATATGCACCTAATTTTTAAAGATTTTAGAACAGTCTGGGAACATATTAAGTATGTATTCAGCTGGTAGGAATTAAAAAATATTCTTTCATAATTTCACACTTTGATTTTACATTCCAATGATACCTATTCAAAGTCAATGAAGGGGAAAAGGACACATCGCTCCTCATTTTTAGTGTCTTTTTTGGTAATCAAATAAAACTCTGAGTGAAATCTAAATGTTAGTGATCTGTCTTTACCTAAATCTGAATATTATTTAGGTTCATCAAACAGAGGCTTTGGTTTATTTTGAATGTGAGCAACATAACACACTTAGTATGCTAGCATCATAGAAACAGCAAGGGTCTTTTTTTCCAGGGAGAAATGTCCTACCCTTGCCATGAACTTGTTGGAAAAGCTCCCTTTTTGCATCACTGTGTACTTCTATGCCTGCCAGAGGCTTTGAGTGGTTCAGTGTAAATAAATTTAAGAAGGAATTTCCAAAGAGGCTGAATTGGAGACTGATGTGTTTTCTGATCTGGTCAGTCTGACCTGGATATGTCAGGTCATCCTGATACGAACTGTAACTTCCATTGGCCTGTGACCAGCACAAGCCCTAACTTCTGGCTTTCTTTGAACTGAAACAGAAGTTAGCACATAAGCCATTTGCAAGGATACCAACGATAGAAATCCCCAGACTGACCAAAGTTAGATAGACATAAAAGCTATAAGACATTCAAAACAACACCCAAGTGGGTCAGTTTATAAGCTCAGATGTCTAGAGAAGAATATAAAATGGAAAATTTGGGATGTGAAAATATTAGCTAAATAGTTTTACTGTATTTTATAATTAGATTCATTGTGTTTGCAAAGTTATGTGTCAAGTTGTAGCTTTCATCTAGTTACAGCACTGTCTACTACATATCTGATAATATCTAATAGACCCATGGGAAGAGCAACAGTCATAGTTTTTAACGTTTTATGACCACCATACAAATGATAAATCAAAAGCCAGATACCATGAATATTACTTGTTAAACTTCATGCGACCTGAAAAGTAAGCATATATTCAAAATGCAGTGGACTGAGACCTACATCTTGACCCCAAATTTACCCTTCTATTTAAGTTCTAAATCAGCATCATCCACTATATGTTAGTTCTCAATAGTTCAACCAAATATTTTTTTAGATTTGTCTCCCCTTCTTCAAAATGTAAAAATCTTCTAATACTCTACAGAATGTTGGGAAGAATTGGGTTCATCAGTTGTGATCATGATTAAGCTTCAAAGAATATCCATTCTCTGTTTAGATAAAATAAAATAAGAAAGCAAAACAAAAAATCAGAAACAAAAGATAAAATATTTCAAAAACATTTTCTCTCAGGCATGGCTTCTGGACTATCAATTCTTCTGTGATACTACAGTAATGTACCTTTTTAGGAAAGAGTAAAATTTTGAACTAAGGTAGCCTTTTCTATTTCCGTAAAGCATGCCTTAATATCACACTCTAAGAACAGTCTTGGTGACCCCAGAAAAGGAAAAACTATACAATAATAACAGAATAAGGAGAAAGAACAAAGAGCTGGAAAGATAAATAGGCGGGGGAGAGTGAGGAGCAGGAGAAGTATTAGAGAGCTTGAAACAAGAAAGAGTAAAAGAGTAGAGGAGTAAAAACAAAAGTTCAAAAATTAAGAGAAAGAAGAGCTGAAATAATGGACCATTATCATGATTTTTCTAATCTAGGCAATCTAATCTAATCTAGGGGGGGGAAAAATCTAAGAAACCATCTGGTCCATGAGTCTCCCTTTTTTTTTTTTTTTTTTTTATAAACAAATTGACTGGGGCTTAAAGTTACAGAGCTAATTAGAGCAGAGTGAGGACCCCAACTTAGTTCTTTATTTTCTTCCAGTCTAACAAACTTTCTATAAAACAATGGAAAAATGAAAAGAGATGCTAACTGCAAACAGGCAGGAAAACATGTTTTTTGTTTTGCTTTTTCTACTTGCTGTGTTAGATTTCAGCCGATTAATTCAGTCTCTCCTCTGGCTACTTATAATTCATGGGCATATAACAAATATGAAGAACAGGAAAGTAAACAAAACTGAAATCATATTTTAGGGGAGTGAGATAGGTATTTCTAAGCCCAGTAACGTGTACTCCTAAATAGAACTTCCAACTCAAAACCACACCAGCTCTACCTACTTCTGCAAGACCAATTTCAGAGTTGCTCTGCCTCAGATCTGTGAGGCTGGTATTCTGGGAAGCTGCAGGTCTTTCAGCTTCTTCTTTGGAGGCCTAGAGCAGACTGAGGAATCTTGGATAGTCTTTGAATCACAAGGGAAAATCTATTTGGCTTTAGCTTTCTCACTTCTAAAGTAAGTTGTTAACTGGAGTACACTCTTGTGAAGAAGACAACAAAGAAGCGGGGTTAGATCCCCCTCCACCCAAAAAAATTACAGATGATTTAGATTTAGAGGAAGAAAATGATAGATTAGGCAACACTGCTAAAGAGAAAGGTAAATAACCAAATTGGTTACAGTCTTTTAAACACTATGAAATTTGCATTAGAAGAAAAAGCAAGTCTATTGCGTCACTGTATTTTCCTACAAGAATTCAACTTTTGTTTAAGATTCTGATTTATATATTTATTTTTATTTTATTTTTAATTTATTTTTAAGATTCTGACTTTTAAAGTATGAAAAGAAATGGTGTAGCACAGTATTCTGGTTCAAGATGGCAGTTTGAACACATTTCTCTCTCATCTTTGTAGAACTCTGTCACAATAAAAGTACACAAACAACAAATATATACCCACAACACAGAAGATAACCTGAGAAGGCAAGAGGGAATAAGATTTTGAATTCACTTCTAAAAGATGGAAAACAACCAGAAGAGTATAGACCAACGAGGATGAGCAAAGAAAGCTACAAACCAAAGTATCTCCAGAGCAGGCTGTGGCTGAAGAGAAAGCCAGTTTGCCCAGTTGAATCCAGTTGAGATGGTGAGTGACGAAATGGCAGGTAAAAGCAGGTAAATGAGTGAG